AGCTATAATAGGTTTGGTAACCAGGCTAGCGCCACGGGCGGCCCGAAACACTTCCGCCCCTGTGTCTAAAGACGAACCGTTTTCTGTGGCGAAACGTTTCGTACCGTTTCGAAACGGTATACCGTTTCTAGTCTAAATCGGGCCTAACACCAGGAAGGACCCTACTCTTTTTGATAAGTGTGGTGGGTTTGTTTACATACTTGAGGTGTGGCTCACCTTAAACACGATTATGATGAAACTTCTGCAGTCTTGTACAGTTCTAATATGTACAGAAATTCAGAGCTTTGTTTACCTACATGTACCTGTACTTTGTATCACTGACAGACCCGTGACCTGATCGCCCGTGGGGACATCACCCACGCCAACGAGACATCCCGCAAGGCGCGCATGTTCTCCATCCTGACCCTGTGTATTGGGCTGTTCCTGGTGCTGGGAGTCATCGTGTACATGATAGTCCTGTTCACAGTCCTGCTGCCCCGCTGGGTGCACGATGGGCCGTGATTCAGTCTCCACTAGGTCATGGTGATTTTATTATATGAATGACATCCTTTGGGAACCCCAAAACTGATGCGAGCGTGGGAATAAATAACTTGCCTTCATCATGAAATCTACGTGGTCATGAAGGTTTAACAAATAACTAACTACACAAGAGTATGGTAAATAATCAATTACTACTTTTCATTTTCAATTCTTCTTTTGCTCTGGAATCGATTTTGGCATTCCAGAACATAAGTTAGTATTGTTTTCCAATATTTTTTTTGCAATTTATGGCATATATTTGCTCATTTTGTAGCCGCTTCGTACAACTTACAGTATGGTCAAGAACATTTTATTTCTTGCACACAAAGATGCACACAAGGATGTCATCCATATATTAAAAACAAATCAACGTGCCCTAAACAACGTAGCAGTGTTCTAGCCAGCCTGATTTTTTCCCCGTCATCTAAACTTTTATAGAACAATCCTGTTCACAATGCTAGGAAAAATTTTCAATCTATACCCTGTGAAACACTATTTTGAGGGCTAAAATTTTGCTAGTACATCCAATGACACCTCTTTCCATGTCTTAACTTTAATAATACGCCATATTTTGTCCATCAAAGATTGCAAAATTCCTGTCCGTATTTGAGAGGAAAAATCCTGTCTAGTGGTAGAAGGACAGACGCTGGCTAGAACACTGCAACGCGGATTAAAGTCAGCCAAATAGAGGGAATAATTAACCACCGTAGAGTTCATTTGCTCTGGAGGGGGAAAGTAAACCTCCTGCGGACTAGTACTGACTCTCCTGGTCAGTTATTTCTCTTTTTGGCTGAACTCTACGATCAGTACCTCTGTCAGTAGGAAGGTGCGGTGGAGGCTACAGGATTCTTATATTCCATGGATGATCTAATGAATTGGTTCTCTGGTTAGAAAATAAACTATGGAGGACGGCATCCTGGCTAATTCTGAGGGAAAAGCCAGACAAATGGTTTGTATTTGTTTGTGTGTGAATACATAACTGTACAGCTCTCTGGATTGATTTTGATGTTCTGTAATCAGAAATGTTGAGAACCAAATAAATACATCTGTATCTGTATCTGAATATATCCAGTATAACCGCCCTTCGGCGTAACACACCAGCTAGATAGGGCATGTCTTCTTTTGGTTACATTGAAGGTTTCTGTTGACCATTTTGTTGCTTTAACAGTTGATGGTGCATTACCCAGTGTGCCTTTTTGCTCAAACTTTTATCTTTTATCTTCAGTGTTATTTTTATTCACAGTGCTTTATCTAGACCATTCCAATCAAAATGTCTCTACATGTACACTACGTAACATTGTTTTATGTTTACTAAAGGTTACAGGGTTCTAGCTAGGATTTAATTTTAGCATAGTGGTACTGGCCGCATGTCAAGGGAGCGAAGCGACCAAGAGGGGGGATGGGGCAGAGTTTTTAAAAAAAATGATCTAAAAAAGAGGCCATTTGGGGGATACCAAAAGGGAAAAAATGTAATTTCTAAAGGTATGTACAATGTATCCTTGATTGGTAATTTTTCACATTTGATCTGGCATTCTTGAACAAAGAAATACAGTCACAATGCCTCTATGCTGTATTGAAAATTTAGCGTAGGGCGTGAAAATTATAGCGTAGGGGGCCCCTTCGCTACTTCGTGCTAGCTAGAACCCTGCGGTTATGAGCTGCAAATCATGTGGAGGGACAGAGTGGGTTAAAAAGGGGTGACAAAATGCCTGACTCTGACGAACTCAGATTTAAAAAAAAGTCCTATTTAGCAACTACACTGTACTCAAGATCTACACTTCATATTTTAGGCAAAAAAAGTGTAGTTTTTACTGCTGTAACTTTTAGGTGTTACAACTTTAAATACATGTGTGCTTTTTTTTGGTGTTTGCTATAAGGCCACACCAATTTGATTTCTTGGTTAACGGATTTTTCTACAAAAATAATGGAGCGGGCGGGCGAAAAAAAAATAAAAATAAAAACAGGCCTAGGCATCCTATTATGGCCCAAATTGGTACGATAGGAGCCATGAAGTCAAAATACCAGGCTGGTTCAACATTTAAACAATGAATTTTGAACTTTTAATGATACCATTGCATTGAAAGATGGAATAACTGTAACAACTAGTATGAAAAGGACTGTTTTCAACTGTTCAGGGCAAAATATGAGCATTCTGCAGTTGATTCTGAATTTTTATTTTTATTTGCAAATCAGAAAAAAATGAAGCGGGCGAATCCGTTAACCAAGAAATTAAATTGGTGTGGCCTAAACTAGTGATTACAATGTATAAATTGTGAAGGGCTTGATAGTGCTGTCATTTTATCTGATACTGTTTTTATGGTGCACTAGTAATGTTTAATCTTTAATATGTAATAAAGATATTCTAGATTCAATCTGGATCAAGTGTATAATTATTATGATGTGGTACAGTATTTTTTATATACTCAAGATTAACTAACTCTATCCAGTATGTACAAACCAGTGTTCTAGCCAGCCAGAATTTTTTTATGTCCTTGAATTTTGTTTGATGTAACATCATGTTGAGCACCTTATGTCAGAAGTGCAACAATCCTAGTGTGTTCTGGAGGCATGCTATCTCTGTAATATTTTTAAATCTTGACCTGAAACGCTATTCCTGCATTTTGAGGGGCAAATTTTTGCCAGTATACTAAGCTTAGTTAACTAGTTTAGTTTAGACTAGGCATTTCTCTTTGCATCGCTTTTTGTCGATCAGAGATGGCACTATTATGATCAGCAAAATTCTGTCAAATTCCATAAAAGACAGACGCTGACTAGAACACTGGTACAAACATTCACAATCTTTTGATGTGAACACTTTCAAGCTATAGAAAGCTTCTCTGTAAAGAATCTTGACCAAATAAAAGATGACCTTAACAAATTATTATAGTGCATCTTATTTTGTTACAACATGAATGAAAAAATGACAAAACACCTGTTGTGTAAGTGACCCTACTGGTTTGCCATAATTTTTTATTATGGATCATACATTTTGTATTCTGATTCTCATACATGTATGGCCAGAGCTCGAAAATCTTTTTTCTGCATACCTGCACCAGTCCAGCTACTAAAGGTAACAAATTGAAAATATTATCTGCAACAAGTTGTACCTGTACCACTTTTTTTAGGAAGTATGGATATCTGATGATACAAAATCTGTTTAAGAAATCATTGCCATTATTTTTTTATACACTTCATTTGTGGTAACAGTCAATGTAACAAAAATATAAGTATACACCTACGTGTAGTATACAACCCCAGTACATAGACCCTTACATGTCAGATACAAAATCTGATACAGGTACTGGTAATATAATGTCCTTGAGTGTTGTTACCTCCATGAAATGTCATGTGTGCTTTGAAGGACCACAGGAAGAATAGCTACATTTTTTTGTAAGTGTGGATCCCAATAAAGTCAAAGGCAAAGTATACAATCTGCATGCTAATACTAAGTGTAAGATGAACCAATTCTGGTCAGTCTGAGATTGACAACTGCTAACATATGCATGCTGCTTGAGGCTGTGATAAACTGGTTTCCATAGTGACAGATAATCCTGAGCTCCTATTGGTACAAATAGTTCTGGGAAGGGTAGATGTCATATAATCATGTTCAGATGGTCAACACCATCTGAGTGAATTGACCAGGAAATTCTCGCGAGACTGCCCAAACTTATGAACATGTGACCTGCACAAGAGGTTGCTGGGACATCTCCAGCCTCACGTCATTCGCTCCAACGCTGACAGACCACCGCCGTCCCCACAACAGACTGTCGTTATTTAGCTTTTAATTCTGTCAAGTTCGCATTGTGTGCACCAGTTTTCCTAGCACTTAGTTAATATATGTCACCTAGCCACACTTAGATATAATAGTTTACCTTCTTTCACTTGTACAGTATTCTCGATAAGTCCGAGTCCGGAGACTCTTGACTGTTAAGTTTATTTCAAGCCAAGTTCAGACGGCTTTGCCGCAGTGAACCAGAGTATTACATGTTCTTGAAATGCCTGAGAACGGACTCACGTCTCTCTTAGGTCACGTTCCTGCTTTATTTAGCTGACCTTTTTAATTATGTGCAATAGAACGTCCAGAGGGACGTGTTTTACCATTTCCACATTGTAATAGTTCTTAATTTTATTCCTTGGACTAGTCTTATAGCCTACTTCATTTTAACAATCACACGTACAGCGTTCAGCTTTCTTTTCACCGACTGTAAATAGTTTGGTCAACGCATGGCCTGAGTGCCAATGGCCTTTCTCAACTGTGAAATCTGTTACAGCGTTACTCGCTGCTCACACCTCTGTATGTGATTGTGAAGCTTATTTTAATGCACCAAATAGTTCTTGTCGTTATCCTAGATATAATTCACTGAGCACTATCGCACTGGTTGTAGTAATTATATATAATATAACTACTTCCACAACGTATTCAGCCTGTTCTGCCCTAGTTAGTTGTCACTAGGCCTGACATCTAGTGGTGCAATCGGAAACATTAACAAAGCATTAAAGATGTCACCTTACATGTACATGTTATTGTAGCTCTCAGGAAGGAGAGCCAATCAGTCCAACAGTGAGATTGTGTAAGTCTAGGAAACAGGTTGTCTCCTTATTTCTGTTGAACAGGGAATGTTAGTTGATCGAAGAGGTCGTCGATTTTCTCCCTCAGAAGATCCACGATGTCTGTGGAGATGAAGAGATGCGTGTCGTCTAAATCCTGCATGACAAACTTCCTCCCCAGGGAGTTCTTCTCATCCAGGTGCAGCAGGAACTGTTTCATGGCTGGATCACTGGTGGAGACAAGGAGAGGAAACCTATAAATGTTTGACAAAATATTTCTACACGTACACACAACAAAAAGTTCAGCTATGCTGGGGAGCTTTCGAGATGTACTCTGTCTCTTCATCAACCCGATTCAGATCTCGTCTTGGAGTTCTCTTGTCACGTGACTTGATGGGATAATCACGTGACAAGAGACAGTCATATACAGGTATTAGGTGGTGACGCCCCCTGTCCTTGTTTAAGCTGGGTTTGTTTGTGCTGGGTTTATCTTCGTAATTGACAAGTTTCCCATCCCCAGAATGCATTGCAAAAACAGGGGTCTAAATCTCATTTGCAATAGGTAAGGAAGACATCGGAATGATCCTATTGACGTTAAACAGCTTATTTTTCAGTTTTTTGAGATGTTGGGGCATTTTGTGCTCAACATTAATTAAATTACTATGGGTTGAATCTGACAACAAATAAAGCATGAACTTTTTTGGAATACATGTAACAGTTATGCGGCTTGTAACGTTATAGTGGTAACGCTATACTGATGCTGTAACGTAACAAACCACATGTTCCATGTTGAAAAGAACACAAAAACTTCATTCTCTATTTGTTGTCAGATTCGGCCCATAGTAATTTAATTAATGTGCGTTGATCATAAAATGCCCCAACACCTCAAAACACACTGAAAAACAAGCTGTTTAACGTCGCATTCTCTTTTTAGCGAACGCCCACGAAAGCCCAAAAATTGTCGCACGAATCTTAAAATTTTTTGTGTGGTCATGTCCAGAGTGTGCTCCCGGGTGTCCATGCCAAGTTTGAAGCGAATCCATCGAGCCGAACTTAAATAAATCGAAATTTACTGGGTTTTTTCTCTTCTTGGCGAACGCCCACTTTACTTCCGGGTTCGCTGCGAACGCCCACTACTCTTTGCAAAATTTCGGCCCTCGCGCAACGCCGGCAAAATCCACCACCACAAATATGTTCCTATATGCCTCCCCCTGCATTTCTGACAAGTTTCCGTGCTTTACGAGCTTTTAAAGTACCCATTTTTTGACAAAATATGCGCTGCGACGAGCTCGCCGCCTCGGCGTATACGTTTCACCTGGTCACATGACTTGCGGTCGGGGACTGTTCGGTAATTTCATGATCAGCGGGAGGGAGGACAGGAAGGGCAGAAAAACGCAATCTACCGCACAAAAGGGGCAGAATTTCGTGTTTGTAACATCAAACATAAATGATGTCCTTTCTTACATAATTTTCACCTCGGTTCTACTAGTGACACCGCCGGCGACAATTACCATGTTATAAAATTGTTCTGCTGAAAAAAGCAACGTTACAGTACGGAGGGGGCCCTAAATTTTTGTCGGCGCCGCTCGCCACGTTCGTTGTAAACCACGTCCGCGCTGATTGACCGCCCCATCAGTGAGCAACAAATGATCGAGGCGGAGAAGTTCGACCGGGCGGGGAATTTTAATGTGCTACCGTATTTAAAATTTGACACCGAACCCAAAACAACAACGAGACTGCTGAGACGCGAGCGAAAGGGTTTTTGAAAAATATCTCGTTTAGTAAACTACTGCTCATGTCACAAAATCAAAGGAATAAAAACTTTCCAGCATTGAATGCTTCTGGCCGCTTGCTTCCCACGTTGTGTTGTCAAGACGACGGCACGTCCTGATCAGACACAGCGGCGTCACGCCCACAGCAGCACGCGCACGGGCCCCACCCACCGGCGGGCAGCAAAAGATTTCAAAGACTTCGCCCAAAAAACCCTATCATTGTAAGGCCATGCCTTGTACATCTACCCATCATTTTAACGTAATACTGGCTGGTATAGTCCCGCTACAAAATAATTTTCTGCGGCATTTGTTTATATTTAAATAGATTTGTGATACGAGGTAAAAAGATTTGTGTCATTTGAACCTTTGTAACGGCATGGCTATAACATTTGTTGAAGATTTCTGTGTTTAACTATAGCCGAAAGTGCATTAGAACTGACCATCAGTTGAAGCGCAACTGTCATGTTATACTACTCTAGTAACGTTATTCACTACGTTACGACGACTTGCGGACCATTTTAAATCTTAGGGACTGTACGATATTTACCGGGGGGGGAGGGCCGGTCGTCTGAGGGGGGAGGGCCTAGGAAAAAAATTTTGAGCCGGGGGGAGGGCCTAGGAAAAAATATTCTAATTTGGGGGAGGGCCGAGGTAAATTTTTTTCCAAGATCCCTTTAACTCTACAACGTTTTTATACACTTTCAAAACATGATTAACGTCTGTCCCATACATATCGTAGCGATTTGCAGGTCATTGGAATCGGCAGAATTTTACGTTCCAATAATATCCATCCCTATTATTATAATGTATTCGCCCAAATCTCCCACAGTCCTCTTCAAAATCTTGCATTTTCGCCAGAATCGGCGAAACTGGACTACACAGCCAATTTACATGGATTAAAGTCGTGTCAATCGCGGCTATCGAAACGATACCGATCAAAAATGTAGGGAAGGCTTGTCGGAAGATTTTGAAAATTAATTTTCGCCGTTCAACGCACCCTTCCCAGTGGTGTGCGTGCGTCGTCAAAGGTGACCCGCTGGTCCCGCCTCGCAACTCGCTCAAACTTCTCGGCGTGGATGTCGGATGTCGACGGATTAATTTGGTATTTTTTTTAAACCAAGAACTATTTTAACATTTATATCTATGTATTAATTGAAAACAACACGTAAACTTGGCAATATTGTTTCCCTGTTTGTAATAAAATTGACGCGGAAGAAGTTCGTGGACGAAAGGTTTATTTCGATTTAACTGACTGACCGTAACGTTACTGACTTAAATAGCTCGATGTACCAGCGAAATTTGTGCTGCCAATTTTGCCCCTCAACATGCAAAACATGGGTTGAAATTCAAAATTTTTTCCGGGGGGGGGACATCGCCCCCCCCCGCCCAAAAGCCGGGCCTACTCGGGCTCTAGTGGCGCCTGCGGCGCGATGGCTCGCGCCTTCGGCGCTTCATGCGGGGAAAATTTTCAATCAAAATCTCGTCCTCCCCATACGAAATTTCACTCTCTATGATTAACGCCTGGGGGAGGGCCTAGGAAAAAATTTTTGAGGCGGGGGGAGGGCCTAGGAAAAATTTTTTTGACCTGGGGGGAGGGCCTAGGAAAAATTTTTTTAAGCTACCCCCGGACGACCGGCCCCCCCTCCCCGGTAAATATCGTACAGTCCCTTACCATCTTACCACTCATAAATCTATTTAATAGAATTGCGTTCATACTTACGGGGGTATTTATTTTCGGCCGGGGTTCCACTGAGATATCGGCGGCTGGCTGGCGACCATCCCGTCAGCATGACCGAGCACCGCGACGTGAGTGACCTAGATTATCTTACCTTGCGTCTTCTCGTTTTACCGCAACTTCGTGTCAATATCGACGATACACACATGAAATACGTTCATTTATTAAAGTTTAACTTTATTTTCACGCGTCAACATTATCATCCGACATTTTATGTACGAATCGATGTAGTGCAATTCTCCTTGCCGGTTTTCGCTATATTCGTCGGTAGTCGTTGGATTTGTCGGGGAAAACCTCAAATAAGGTACTTTTTGTATTTTGAAAAGTTTTCAAAAGTGCGTACTTTATTCGGCGGTGTCACTACTAGAACCGAGGTGAAAATTATGTATGAAAGGAAATCATTTATGTTTGATGTTACAAACACGAAATTCTGCCCCTTTTGTGCGGTAGATTGCGTTTTTCTGCCCTTCCTGTCCTCCCTCCCGCTGATCATGAAATTACCGAACAGTCCCCGACCGCAAGTCATGTGACCAGGTGAAACGTATACGCCGAGGCGGCGAGCTCGTCGCAGCGCATATTTTGTCAAAAAATGGGTACTTTAAAAGCTCGTAAAGCACGGAAACTTGTCAGAAATTCAGGGGAAGCATATAGGAACATATTTGTGGTGGTGGATTTTGCCGGCGTTGCGCGAGGGCCAAAATTTTGCAAAGAGTAGTGGGCGTTCGCAGCGAACCCGGAAGTAAAGTGGGCGTTCGCCAAGAAGAGAAAAAACCCAGTAAATTTCGATTTATTTAAGTTCGGCTCGATGGATTCGCTTCAAACTTGGCATGGACACCCGGGAGCACACTCTGGACATGACCACACAAAAAATTTTAAGATTCGTGCGACAATTTTTGGGCGTTCGCTAAAAAGAGAAACCCGTTTAACGTCAACAGGATCATTCCGATGCCTTCCTGTCCTATGCAAATGAGGTTTAGACCCCTGTTTTCGCAATGCATTCTGGGGATGGGAAACTTGCAATTGTGAATGATATTCAGTCATTTATCTACATGGGTGATACTACAGAGGTACATGTACACTAGCTCACTGTCACATTTCTCCTGAATGTTCTATTGCAATGAAAGTACCACAGTGAACAATCTAAACATGGATGGCTGCATTAAATTTTATCTTTTCTGTCATACATGTTATGCTATCTAATTAAAAGTAAACTGAATTAATGATACTCTGGTACATTGATTGCATTTAACTTTTTACATTTTTTATAGTATAAAAATGTAAATAGTTATGTATGCAGTTCTTAGTTAAACTGCAGAGAGTTACATGTACATTGTAAAAATCACATGTAAAAATCACAGTATAATTTATACTACAGGATACATGTGATTTTTACAATTTACATGTAACTCTCTGCAGTTTAACTAAGAACTAATCTCCAAGCAGATTCTTTGGTGACAAGACCGTGTCTCCTGGACATTACAATTACAAATGTAATGCTCTGAGTCTGACAAAATGTCTTTCCACCGAAAGAATACTAACGTTAGCTAGGATGTGGACTCACCATTCAACCAACACTCCTTTCAGGACATTAACCATCTCGTACAAGCAAATTCGCCCTCCAACCTTTCAAAATAACTAAGAAGACTTGTGTGAGGATGAAAGACGCATGAAAGACGTCTAGTTTATCCGTAGGGTAGGCTTTTGGACAGTCATACCATGGTGGTGTCTCAAAGAAGAAACCCTCCTCCAAACTGTACACATGGTCTTTACCACTACAGCTGGCCAATTCATACATTTCTCTGCCTTTCTAAAATATACACGTATCGTTCTTTGTTTATTTAAAAAAAACATAACTCAGCACTTTATATAAACAAGAACACATAAAATTAAAAGAAACGTTAATAGAAATAACAGTATTATAAAGAATAGTTTGATAATTGTTAAGTTACAGACGTATTATTCAGGCACTAAATATGTTTGTTGTTGAACGACTTGGACTCTATGTCGACCTTTAACCCCTGAAGTGGACTCGTCCAGTTACCACGTTCTTTCTTGACAAGGACACGGACTAACAGAAATGTCTCTGTCGGCGCTAACTTATATCGCCAGGCGCGGGATGGCCACCAAACTCACGGTGAAAAACCTGGCCATCATCGGCAGCGGTCAGATGGGCGCGGGGATTGCACAGGTCAGTGTAAAACTAAAGGGTGGACACACGGGGGGAACGTGGCGCGTGCAGTGGTCGGTCGGCCCCTCCCCCTTTAGTTTTTTTTCTTCATAAAGTGCTACTTTAACTGACGTGTTGTTGTCATGTACATGTGTACTGTGTGTTTTAGTGGTTTGATCCTGACATCAGTACTAAGACTGTAGAAGCTAACAATAGCGCACATAGCGTTGTATTAAACGTGGCAATGTCATAGTATACATACACACAGGTATTAAAAACGACTTTCAGAAATTTTGTTTGAAAACATGATTTGCCCTTAGGTGATGTGTGATTTAACATTAACAGTCATCCTGCCCTTATGTCCATAGCAGCAGTATTTGATTAACATACTTAAAGCCGATGTGTTTCCTAGAGCACACGGCTGAATAAGTACACCTGGCTGTTACTAGCTAGTGCAGTTGCGAAATGGGGACAGATGTAACGTTATGTACATAATGACGTACTGCAAATGTAAACAAATGCTGACCCGTTGTGTAGCAACTTGAAATGTACTGTGAGGTGCCTCAATATGATTTGAAAATATCGTTTTATGTTGACTCATCATACAATTATGGTGCATTAAGTAAACTTATGAACTGCTAATAAGGTAGTCAAATTTGTATATACTATTACTAAGTTAACATTGCATTCTTCCTGTATTCAGTTAACTCTTAAGGTTTGAAGAAATTATCCAACTATTGACATTTACAATTTCTTAACACATGCACCCAGTACTGTAATTTACTTCATGTTCATGGTAGCAAAAGTTCACTGTCTAAGGAAAATGGAGTGTTCATGGAACTGCAATGTATATATTCACAGTGGCCAGTCCAGGAATTATTTGTTAACAGTAATAATAAGTTCACGGTACAGAAGTGATAGTGAAAACAGTGAACATAACAGTACGGTGAAAAAATCAGGAATTACAGTATCTTCAGCCCTGGACTACAATATATACATACATGTATATCCTGGCAGGTTGCAGCTGCGACAGGCCACAAGGTAGTTCTGTGTGACACGGCTGCAGACATCCTGGAGAAGGCCCAGGCAGGCATACAGAAGAGCTTACAGAGAGTCGTCAAGAAGAAGTTTGCAGATGAACCTGAGGTAATTTTTCTAACCATTATAATGCTGAACTAGTGGCAACAGAAAATAATGACAGATTTTAAAATTTCTACCAAATGTTAGTTTTCATCTTGCTTCAGTTTTACCTCAAAATATCCCAGAGCAAAGGAGATAATAATTTTGTACTACTAGTTTTGGCAGTGGTCGAAATACTTTTTTTCAGTGCTCTGCAATATTGCAGAAGAGTCAAAGTTTTGTTCTGCAATTTGGAAATACTTTCTGCAAAAACATACTAATAAAAGACACAAAAAACAGTTACTCAAGTAGCTGTATATAATTTTGGTGCTACATAAAACAGTCAGACTATTACCTTTATCATCAGTGACACTAAGAGACTGAAGGGGAACTGCAGGTTTATAAGCAAAAACTATTGATTGATATGCAAATGAGTGAAGACAAATAAATTTTTGGAAGTCAAAAAGGAAACAAAAGTTAGACAAGTCAAGACAAGGATGATGCAAATTAGTGAAGAAGCTCCTGTTGTTTCAGAACAGGAGCTCAAGTGTTGTCTGTCCTTGATGGGACCTGAGAGTGCTAGTTTGCTAAATTGAAAACTATTGAATCTGAAGTCTATTTTTCCTTCTGCAAAATTGCAGATTGTATAAATTTTTCTTCTGCAATCTTGAAAATCTATCTGCAGATTGCAGACTGCAGACAGGTATTTCGAACACTGTTTTGGTATAAACTTGTGAATCCCTTATACTGTATCCTAATTTAATTGATTAACAAGACCAGAGCTCAAATTCAAAAATACGTTTTCCTGCAACATTTCAGGACAATTACTAGAACCTGCACCACTTTTAGGAACTTATTAGGAATTTAGGAACTAATAATGGATCATACTAAAAACTTTGGCGAGCTAACTGTATGCTCCACGTGCACCTCTATTATGGAGGATGAATGATGATGATGATGACTAAGAACTTTTTCGAAAGCCATTGGCCCATTGCCATTATTTCTTTTATATTTCATAGCAAGTCAATTCAGCAATGGAAAATCCACTTGCACCTGTATATGTAAGTTAAGTTTAAAAAACAGTACATTTACAATGTATATTCCTTTACATATGGATAAAAGTGCATGTTATATTATGTATACATGTACATCATGTAGTACATGTACTAGTACAATGTAGGTGCAGGTAGACATACCTGCACAGCTTCAGTTTACAGAGAGTACAGAGGGTACAAACCTGTACGTGTACATGCAGTTGGTATTTCGAACCCTAAAGACCATTACAAGCATCATGAACTACAATAAGTGTTATTCTTCTTATTTTCTCACCAGAAAGGCCAAGAGTTCATCAGCACCACCATGGCTAACATCGAGATAACCACAGAGCCAGCCAAGGCTGTGGTGACAGCTGACCTGGTGGTGGAGGCCATAGTGGAGAACCTGGCTGTCAAACAGGAACTCTTCAAAACACTGGACAAATTTGCACCTGCGTGAGTCTACTGACTAGTAGAGTTGGACTCAGAGGATTTGTGTATCCAAAACAGTTCTAATAATCTCTAGCCAGCTGTCCCTTAGTAATAGTTATTCAACTGTGGACAGGACGAATCCGAGAAACAACAAATTAAATATGTGTGGCCTTGTCACTCAATATTTGTAGGGCTGAAGGATGACCAGTAGTATTGTCTTGTCTCCAGGAAGACCATCTTTGCCAGTAACACGTCATCCCTGCCCATCACTGCCATTGCCAACAGTACAACACGTCAGGACAAGTTCGCTGGACTGCACTTCTTCAACCCTGTCCCTATCATGAAACTTGTGGAGGTTTGTTTGTTTGTTTGTTTGTTTGTTTGTTTGAATCACTCTTTATTCATGAGAACCAAGTGCGAGTTGTCAAGAAAATTTAGGGCTTGCAAAAAAGATTATGACATGTAGTCTTGAAAATGCTTATTTGTAACACTATTCAGTTTAAATTTGTAAAAGTCTTAAGAAATTTAAGTTAAATCTGTAATAACTAATATCCTACACTTGAAGTTGGACTTACCCAAATTTTGGACTGTACAATTTCTTGTGTTGGAAATTAAAGTGTAAAAGTGCTCCATAATACTAATGAGACATGTATTTTTGCGAAGGAAAAGAGTTTTATGAATATGAGTCACATACTAGTACACAGTAAATCACAATTTTGCAGTATTTTTTTATTCATGGTTTTCGTGATCACTTCTGTAGTACTGGGAACTTATCATGACTGTGAAGAAACAATTCCTCAACTTTCTTCTTGCTGTACCTGCTACGACTGCAAATGTATTCTGCGACATGTCCATTTTTTTGATCTTGTAATATAGATATTGATTTGTTATCATGTTAATCATGTAAAATGCGCAATTCAGCATCTTTGTACACAAATGAAGCTGCCATGTATTTTTAATTACTGAATTGTGAACGAAGTCAATAAACTCAATATATATTTTCTCAGACCGCAAACATAAAGTGATTCACAGTATTGCAGAAAATGGAAAACCAAATATTTGGAGCCCTGAACTCTAGCCATGGCTGGCATCACCAGAGTCTGTTCCACCTGTAGGTTGTTCGCGCTCCTGGGACCAGTCAAGCCGTGTACGAGTGTCTGATGGAGTTCAGCAGAGCTCTGGGGAAACACCCCGTCACCTGTAAGGTAGGGAAACATTTCAGCAACAAACTAGCTACAAAAAGAGATGTCAAAAAATGGTGTTCAACTTGGTAGAAATCATTATGAAGCAAGATTAAACTGTAATATCCAACACAAGAAATTGGACTCACCCAAATTTTCGACTGTACAACTCCGATCCAGTCTTTGTCAAGGAATGAGCAATCCACCGCTTCCGTGACGTCACGCAGATAACACACGTGACTCCGTGAGCAGTGGATCATAGGTTGCAGAAAGTCTGTGGCGCCTATGCAACCTATGAGCTCACAGAGTCACGTGTGCTATCTGCGTGATGTCACGGAAGCGGTGGATTGTTCATTCCTTGACAAAGACTGGATCGGAGTTGTACAGTCGAAAATTTGGGTGAGTCCAATTTCTTGGGTTGGAAATTACACTTTAAACTTGCTTCATAAAAATTTTTGATGTTAAGGCCACACCACTTTGTTGGTTCAGAAAAAATATGAAGCGACAGGGCGAAAAAAATAAAAATAAAAACAGGTCTAGGCATCCTATTATAGCCCCAAATACTATGATTATAGCCATGAAGTCAACACAAAAGGCTGGGTTAATATTTAAACAATGAACTTAATATTTGAACTTTTAATCAAACCACTGCATTGATAGATGGACAAACTGTAAAGACTAGTAGAGGAAGAAAGGGACTTTCCTCATCAACTGTTAGGAACAAAATATGAGCATTTTTGAGTTGATTCAGAACTAGAATTTTTTTTTTTCAAATCAAAAAAAAAATGAAGAGGCAAATCTGAGAATCAACAAATTAAATTGGTGTGACCTATTGGATTTAACCAATAATGTGTAAAGTATTGATTGCTATGTTTCTATAGATGTATGTTTGCCTAATGTATGTGTATACTATATTTTGTGCATACCAGTGTTGTAGCCAGCGTTGAATCCCTCAGTTATTTCACAGAATTTTGGCTCTCATAAAAATAAAGATTTTGAAATTCGGTTATCTTTGATGAACAAAAATGGGGCGTGTAAAGACATGGAAAGAGAAATTGTCACTAAATAAGCCTAGCCTACCTGCAAAACATTTCCTTAAAAATAAGTTAAAATGCAGGAAATAGCATTTCAGATGGTGAAGATTAAAAAATTTTCCTGGGAAGCATGCACCCAAACTTTACAAGGATCATTGAGCTTGTGCTGTACATGTACAATGTCATAGTGTTATGTCAAACAAAATTTCAGACCATCTATAGCTAGAACACTGGTGCACAAGTCATGTACTATCAAAGTGCAGGAGAAACAAGAATTTGGAGGTCATAGACCTTGAGCAATCCCCTTTAATTTGCACTCCCCCTCTTTATCATATAATGAACGTGGAAAACAACAGCTGTCAGTATCAAGGAGGTCATGTAACAAAAAATACCTTTGAAAACACCAAGCACTGCCAGATGAAGTGATTACACACACAGACACACAGACAGACACACACATACACACAGACACACAGACACACACACACACACACACACACACACACACACACACACACACACAGACACACAGACAAACCAAAAACAATACCTCCAATTTTCATTGAGGTACATGTAACTACATGTTGTTATTTCCCTCCCTCCCAGGACACCCCAGGTTTCCTAGTGAACAGGTTGCTGGTTCCCTACCTCATGGAGGCTGTCAGGTTATATGAGAGAGGTCAGTTACACAAATAACATACCTCTGCAGGGCTCAGAATACCTTTTTGGTGCACATAACATTTAATAATTGCCTGCCTAATTAAGTGTTACCTGCACCACTCAGAATTTTATTATGGATGACACTAAAAACTGTTCAGATACCATTTCAATACATAAATGTACCAGTGCAGGTTAGGTGGACATCAGAAATTTTTTAATACCTGCACTAAGCCACTAACCAACATATGCAGGACTATCTCGAGCTCTGCTGTATGTTGTTAAGGGAAAGCCCTTTGCAGTAATATTTCAAGCTAAAAAGTAATCAAACCCTAAAACTGCATTAAGCACCCGGTCTGAATTCACTAACACCAGCAGACACAGCTGACATACAGTGTGCCGACTTTCCTTTTTGTACTTGTACCAGGTCCTATAGTTGGCCGATAGTTGGAGGGCGTTCGGCTAGTATTTGTGAATGTGTGGCAATCTAAGAAAATGAAACCCCTTCTGACCCCAGGTGATGGCAGTAAGGAGGATCTGGATGTTGCCATGAAGCTGGGAGCAGGATATCCCATGGGGCCGTTTGAGCTGCTAGACTATGTCGGACTGGATACATGCAAGTTCATCATGGATGGTACGTATCAATTTCATTTTATTATCACCATTTAAATCAACAAACAGAAGAATACAAGATAATGTAACACGTGGTATTAATTTTGTGTCTAAATGTTTTGTAAAAATCAACATTTGATTTTTACATTAAGCATTTTGACACAAATACAGATAAAAATCGATAATCTAAAGTGTACATACATATACAAAGTATAACATACATGTATGTTCAGAACATAATATACAATGTAGTCTACATTATAAATAGATAAAATTAAGTACATGTACCTGTGATACCAAAAAGTCATCATCTTAGTCCTTTGCAAGTCACAGGAATATCATAATATATATTTAATAATTATTTTTTTATGCACTACGTATTGATCTAAACGCTGTAGTTTTGCTGTCTTCAAAACTTAGTGATAATTTACGTTTTTTACTTCTTTACGTTAAGTAAACAGAAATAAGAACTGAATTCTATCATGATATTTCAGCTTTCTTTTGATGGTAAAATTGTGATTGTGTGTACTTTTCCTCTCATGTTAAGACGGTTGTAACAAACATATTAATCAGACAGTGTTTTGACTGAAAACCTAGATTACACAATCAACGTGGTTCCATACTGTGTTCTGTAAGGTTTTTTGTGATGCCTCAGGGGCGGAGCCGTTGGTATAGTACTGCGATTGAGTTGAAAATATTCTTAGAATTCCACGAATGCATTCCCTAGGGAACTAAATTTTGTCAACAAGATAATTCAAGAACGGCTGGATGGATTGGTTTCATACTTGGTGTGTTGGTAGGGTGTGACTATATTTGGAAATGATGAGATTTTTGGCCCCCTAGTGGCTTCCCTTGGCACTGCAGTGGAACATCTGCTCTTGATATCTCGTGATCTGGACGTGATAGGGTCATGAATCCTCATGAGAAACGTATGACTCACTCACATACATAAACAAGCACCTCCATCAACAATAACCAAAACAGACACCGTGATTATTATTATTATCATACGTAAAAAGAGAATCACGTCGCCGAGGCGTGTTTTAAATGCCACTATATTACCTTCGCCAAGAAGGTTAAATATGTTTTCGGTAGCGTTTGTCTGTGTGTGTGTGTGTTTGTGTGTGTGCGTGTCTGTTTGTGGTTTAGCAAGATAACTCGAGAAGCGGTGGATGGATTTCAATGAAACTTGGTAGGTGGGTAGGTCTTCATGAGACCTAGAAATGATTAGATTTTGTTCCCCTATTGGCTTTCCTAGGTAGCCTGGTTACCAAACCTATTATAGCTCCCGAGTCCTACGCAATATTTGCGGAGAGGATGTACATGTAGGACTCGGGAGCTATAATAGGTTTGGTAACCAGGCTATTTCCTAGGTACTGCAGCAGAACTTTCAGTTTTGATATCTCGTGATCTGGACATGCTAGGATCACGAATTTTGGATGACAGATAGCTCTTGGGATAGGAAAGAAGTGACATGAGTTTGGGTCCCTCATTCTTGAACTGCAGGAGCATTTGTTGAAAAATTTTCATTAAATCTTGTTTCACCTTTACCCTTCAGGTTGGCACGAGTTGGAACCAGACAACCCGCTGTTTGCTCCCAGTCAGTTGGTGAATGAGCTGGTGGCAGCAGGGAAACATGGGAAGAAGACAGGGGAGGGCTTCTACAAGTACTAACTCATCATCGTATACAAGGAACCATAATTAGGCCACAGCAAGTATATTTTATGGATGACATCCTCCGCAGACTCCAATTCTAATGCGAGCGGGCGAAAAAAACAAGACAGCCCGAAAAAAAAACAAGGTTTCTACATATCTTAAAATTTTGACTCAATTATGGTACAAATGGTTTTGAGTCAGTGGGAACATCGCATATACACAGCCAGCATCACAATCATATCACTACAACAAAATAAGAATAAAACTTAAGTCAGAGTCTTCTCTTCTCTCTTTATAGTTATCTGCCATCCACCTTCCGGCATGGCAACAGACATCTTTGCCTATTTTTGGCATGTTGACCACTGTCAGAAGGCAACAAAATTTCTTTTTTTTTTTTTCAAAATCAGCCGAAAATTAATGCGCGCGCTGATGTCATCCATAAAAATTACTTGCTGTGGCCTTATACAAATACATGGAACCAGTGTTCTATCTAGTATCCAGCCTGAATTTTTTTTTCACATATTAATTCTGTTTGACCTACATGTAATTATAACATGTAACATAATGTCAAGCGCCTAGGAGGGGGGTGCTTTTGGGGGAAAAATTGCAAAATCTTGAAATCTGGATGTTGAGGGGCAAATTTTGCTGGTAAATGAAGCTTAGTTTAACAACATCTCTTTCTATATCCTAACACATCAATTTTTGTCTGTGAAAGATGATGGGCAAATTTTTTGATTGTCATAAACTGTTACAGCAAAATTCTGGCTAGAACCAGCATGTACCGGTAACACTTGCAATCTACTAGAGAAGAAGGTTAGAAAGAAAATTATCAAATGTTTATTTTATTGCAGTTTTGGCTTCACTAGACACATAATTGGACTTCAGTATATTTCAGTTTTTCAAACATTTTAGCTGTGGATGAGTGTAAATAAAAACAGTACTTACTGCAGTACATTATAGATTCAAGACTTCTCCAAAACACAGTCACACAGAATTGTGATGACATAGCTCCACAGTATATGACTGCATTGTATGGTGCTTCCAGATCTAGTAAGAGTGATGTGTTTAAAACAAACTAACTTCAGATTTGCAGCTGAACATAATTTTTGAGGCGATATATTATACAGTCAAACTTTTCTAAGGTGAACATCCAGGGGGCCAAAGAAAGTGGTCTTCTTGATACTAAAAACATCACTACAAGACAAGACACAGAGTTAGACTGACCCCCATACAACAGTCATGCTGTCAAAATCAATGGCAAACTAGCTGATTTCACGTTAAAATTTGTTTTCCGCCACACACTTGAAAATGATGTGGTCATCATAGGCAGAGATTGGGCTATGTGCGGTCCCAAATAGTGCCAGTGGCGGTTGTGTTGGACAAGTGGTCAGCATAGGCAAGACCCTTAATGCTTACATCTTTGGGGAAAACATTGGGACCAAGAAAAAATTATCATTATGACCAGATGGCTGACTTACAGAGGTGGTCACTTGACAAGTTTGACTGTTACAGTTATAATGATTTTGATTGAAATTAAAGCTGTTTGTTTTGATGCCTTGGTTCACTTTAGTGTGACATACATGTATGTTTAACAAATCTAGAAGAGCTCAGGCACAGGTCAAACACTACTGTTGGTATAGACCTGAAGATAATGGAACAAACTTGAGACAGAGCCACAGATTTCAGGTACCAAGTTGTATTTATTGTTCCTCATCAGGCCACACCAATTTAATTTCTAGGTTAACGGATTCGCCGGCCTCATTTTTTCTGATTTGCAAATAAAATTGAAAATTCAGAATCAACTGCAAAATGCTCATATTTTGCCCTGAACAGTTGAAAACCGTCCTTTTCATCCTAGTTGTTGCAGTTATTCCATCTTGCAGTGTGTGGTATCATTAAAAGTTCGAAATTCATTGTTTAAATTTTGAACCAGCCTGGTGTGTTGACTTCATGGCTACTATCGTGCCATTTTGGGCCATAATAGGATGCCTAGGCCTGTTTTTATTTTTTTCGCCCGCCCGCTCCATTATTTTTCTAGAAAAATCCGTTAACCAAGAAATTAAATTGGTGTGGCCTCATCAGTAGAAACATCCATATTAGATTATATGAGAAGTACATAATAAAATCAACCACTAGACTAGACTACCCAATACAACATTGAAGGGAACATACATGTACTAGACATTATGTTTTGCTCTACATGACAAACATGTAATGTTTAAATGTTATTTCATAAATAACAGGCGACACTTTAATTCCGGACTGACACTCTAATTCCGGACTACCTTTCACCATTAAGACATAGTTTGACAAGGAGACTTAATATTGTAGAATATGTTATATTACTCGCTGAAAGTTACGTAGGTATCATCGATAGGTCCCCTGGGACTAGGTCAGTTCTGCAGAATTCTGCATTCGGATGCAGAATTCTGCGCAGAATTCTGCATTCAGGTGCAGAATTCTGCATTCGGTTGCAGAATTCTGCACAGAATTCTGCATTCAGGTGCAGAATTCTGCAACCCAAATGCAGAATTCTGCAATCTAAATGCAGAATTCTGCATCCCATATGCAGAATTCTCCATCCAAATGCAAAATATGAAGGGATTTGCAATGCCTTATTTATTTTATGATGTTAGAGAGTGGACTCACACTTGTCCTACATGACATATGTGTTTGCTATCCCTGTGCTGCAAATTTTGCCATTACTGACAGGGCCAGGGTGGGAACCACTGAAACAGAAGAGGCAAGTAGTATACTAGTCTCCTGGCTCTGGGGATTTGAACCTGGAGTCAGATTTTTAACTCCATGAAAAATATAGAGGTATTGTTTTTGGCGTGCCTGTCTGTGTGTGTGTCTGTGTGTCTGTCTGTGTGTTTGTGTTTCCGCACATTTGTAGCCAGCATAACATTTGAACCTTTGGATGGATGGTGTTGGGTACATGTAGGCAAAGGTCAAGGTCAATTTTGGGCCTCCTGGTGGCTGACCTTGGTACTGCAGCACAACTTCCGTATTTTGTATCTTTTGTCCTGGACATGCTATGGTCTTGATTTTTGAATGGTGGATAGCTTTTCCTGCCAGTAATAAGTGGTTAGGGTTTGGTCCCCCTAGCAGCCTGTTCTGGAACTACAGGGGGTTTCTGTCGAAACCTTTCAGAGCAGATAAATTCACAAAGGAACAATGTATTTTCTTCATTTTTGGTATGTGGTAGCTTAGACAGAGATGTATATTATTATTGCGAAAGATGACTTCATTTACATAATTATTGAGGAAATTGTGTGATTCCAGGATTTATTGTTTCTCAGAATTTAAAAAAAAATCAGGAGTGACAGGCGAAAAAAAAACAGGCCAAGTCACCCCATAATAGCCAGAAACATTACAATATGAGCCATGAAGTAAACATACCAGGCTGGTTAATAATTAAAACAATAGATTTTGTACTTTACGGAAACAAAATTGCAATGTTACATTGAAAAACTTAAGGACTAGGAAGAAAAGGACTTTTTCAACCATTAGGGCCAAAATATGTCTGAGCATTTTGTAGTTTAGAACCAAAATTTTTTTTTTTTTTGCAAATCAGAAAAAAATGGACAGGGCAATCCGAGAAGCAACAAATGAAATTGGTGTAGCCTTAAAGAATAAATTTACATCTGAAGCCCATATTTCATGGAGGTATGAGATTTTGGAACTCTTGTTTCTTAAAATGTTTGATGCAGATTTTGCTGTTCAACCGCATCTTATACTAGCCTGAGCACCTTTATTTCGCTTTCGCTCTCAATATATAGCAACAACATTTCTGTAACACACTCGTTCTCATTCAAATTGTACAAAATGCTGTCGCCACTATTTACGACTAAGTCTAGGTATGAGCCAAATCATGGATTTCATCGTTGCTTTCTTCACTTTCCCACTACACTTACTGTTTCACGAAAAATGTACCACAAACCTAGGTTTGATTGATGACTTCAGAGAAATTATGGTCGCGGATTGGATTTCTCCCCCTAAAAAGCGGCTGTCGCCTGAGACGAAATAGAAACTTTAAAAAGCAACCTAAAACGTAGCAATTTGATTACGGCAGTAGTTTTCTGCCTGGTGTAGTCGGATGGCCAGGTACTCTGACTGATCAAGTCAGATCGCTCCTGTCACTATTCTTGTACGTCATACGAGGTGGTTCATACCTGTCGCCAAGTTCTGTAACATCCGTTACCGCTCAAGTAAGACGGTCGTGCAGTTTAGATAGAGTCACATATAAGACAAGAAATTGCCATTTTGATGACTTTTAGCAAGTTTTCTAGGTTTCTAAGAGAAGAAGAAAAGAGTGTGTGCTGTTATTTGTAGCCAACTTGAACAAATTGTTCAACGCTGAACAACGCTGAACAAATTGTTTTACAGTAATGAATGTAACATCCGTTACCGTTGTTTTTACTTTCAATTTTAGTTTCTTCACCTGGTATATAAAAAGTCGCCCAGTTTTAAAATGTCCGTACTTATGCCCCCTTGTTCTCAAAGGATGAAGATAAAAACTGCAGGTCTTCTTGGAGAAATAAACAAAAACGTCCGTTTTGTAACATCCGTTACCGGTAACGGAAGTTACACCTGTAGTGCAAAAGACGTAACAAGAGATTGAATTTCCCTTCCCAATACACCATAAACATAATAGTTGGAAATAAAGTAGAAAAAATATGAATCCGAAGAAAAATAACCCTCTGTGGCGTCAACAGACTCAAATGTTCTACTCTTCTTTGCTTCCAAAGTTATTTTTGGTACTTCTGTACACTACACTTAGATATCTTTATGTGATCGATACGTGTATATTTACCAGTAAATAATGGGTTGACAGAAGTACTTTCATAGATACTGACGCCTAAACTAATGGCTTTTGAGGTGATGTCATGAATACAAACTTTATCGTACACCTAATTCATGCTCATGTTCCAGCGTTTTTGCCGCACTAAAATTGCATTGTTTACATATGTCTTATCTAAGTGCATAAATTTTTGGTAACTTCCCATGGCATTTAAGCTGTCCTTTTTTGGTAATCATTAATTGAGATGTTCTCCTAAAAAATAAGGTAGGTTTGCCTAAAAAAACAGATCATCGATTTTTCGACCCAAAAAATCACCATTTTG